CATCAGAGCCACTTAATTAAATCCCAGGGTCTGCAGCCAAAGCATGTCTGAATGCAGCTCTGGGCTTGGGGATCTGAGAACTACTCTACTTGGCTCCTCTACAGAATGAACCCTTCTCCTTGAGGCTCCTTCAGTTACAGCCAAGCCAAAAAACTACATCTTCCAAAATATCATATCCATCAGGAGGGGTAAAGGACAGTTATAGCTCATTTCTGTGTAATGGCAACAACCAAGAACTTGTAACAACACATCCATGTGCTGGCGCTTGAATTCTCCAAGGTGAAAGAGTAAGACTCCACAAGGCTCTCAGGAGAGAATCAAAGGTTCAGGGAAGACAGAGTAAGTCTTTTGTGTGAGTCCACGACAGCATAAGCATTCAGACACCACCACAAGCCACTGTTGACATCTCCTTTCTAGAATGATGTCAAGACAAAAAAAAAATGCATTAGGCTGACAAGATGGCTAAGTTGGTTAAGTGTCTGCAGAACAAGCATGAGGACCTGTGTTTGGATCCACAGCATTAGCATAAAACGCCAGGTGTGGTGGTCAGTGTTTAGAATCTAAGCACTGGGGAGATGGAGACAGGAGGATCCCTGCTCCGTACTAGCCAGCCAGTCTGGCTGAACCTGTAAGCTCCAAGTTCAGTGATTGACCCTGTCTCAAAAAGGAAGGTGAAAAGAAACAGAGGAAGACACCTGACATGGACCTCTGACCTCCACATGTACATACACACACATGTGCATACACACAGTTGTGCCTACACACAAATATGCATTGTCAAAGAATATGGTCAGTATTTCCATGTGTGCAAAACATTTCTTATAACTGATCACAGTTCTTTCTAGACTCTGAATGTGGAAAGCATTCCCACAGAAAAGGAAGACTGCCAGGAGTCTCAGGGTAGGACAAAGTGCATAGGTTTTAAACTAGTCCACCTTCACCTCTGGGGAGAATTCCTGTTTCATGACCAAAGAATAAACTACACCATACCGGGGATGCCTACAGAGTCAAGAGTGTTCAAATACACTTCACAAATCCAGCCCTCCTTTTTCTCTTTCACAAAAAATATTCTTATTAATTTTTTGTTTTTGTTTTTATTTTTAAGTTGTTTATTGAACTTTTATGTATTTCATACAGAGCATCTTAATCACCTTTATGCCTCCCTTCCCCATTGGCCTCCTCCCATAGCCTCTCACTGGAATTCAAACATTCTGTCATTTCTGTTAAGGCCTATCATGTCAAGTTAGTGTCCTCTGATGTCCCTCAGTGCAAGTTCATCCACTGAGGTCTAGTCAGCCCATCTAGAGGCCCTCCCTTTAAGAAGACAAGCTCTTCCTCACCTAGCAGTAATCAGCTGCCAATAATTCGTCAACTAAGATTGGGGCTTGCTGTCCATTTCCACAGTCCTGTTCTGGGTTTTTGTCTGCTTGAGTTTGCATGGGTCTTGTGCATTCTACATCATTGCTGTAGGTTCATATGAGGAGGGTCCCAGGAGCCTGTAGGACTCTATTTCCTTATAGTCATGCACCTCCTCCCTGGCTCTTACAATCTTTCCATCCCCTCTTCTGCAATGGTCCCTCAGCCCCGGGTGGGTGGATTTTAATATAGGAGTCCTTTCCAAGGACCCACACTCTGTAGACTCTTATGGTCTACTTTTTGGTCAGTTGTGTCCTTTACTGTTCCTGGCCCTCTGTTGTGTGAGGGAGCTTCATTGATGAGAACTGAAAGATGCATTAGTGTTCTCTTCATCCCTTGTTCTATGTTCCATGAGCCTAAAGTGTAGAGGTTGCATCACGGATGTACCACTTAGGCATTGAGCAATTCACAGACAATCTCTGTGTGTGACCAGTTGTGGAACTCTGTAATAATCTCTATCTGTTGAAAAAGAAGCTTCTTTGATGGGAAGTGACTGAGATACTTGTCTGTAAATTTAACAATCCATATTTTGCACATAGTAAGAAATCACATTTGCCTAGGGATGTATCAGCTTTGGAGTTTTCTTTAAGATCCATGACCTCTCCAGGTATGTGTATTTGACAAGGTTTACAGTGCCACACATGAGTTTCCTCCCATTGAGTGGGCTTTAAGTTCAATTAGGTAGCTGTTGATTACTCCCAAGATAAAAGTGCCACTACTACATCAGTGTCTTTTACTATGCTGTTCATTGACCCAGGTATACCACTCCTTCGCATATACCCAAAGACTCATCCTATTGCAGAGATACTTCTGCAACCATATTTGTTGCTGTTCTTTTCACAATAGCTAAGAGATGGAAGAAACCTAAGTGTTTCTCACCTGACAAGTGGATCATGAAAATGTGGTACATTTACACAATGGAGTTCTACTCAGCAGTAGAGAAAAATGAAATAATGAAATTTGCAGGTAAATGGATGGAACTAGAAACTGTGATTCTAAGTGAAGTAACACAGACTCAGAAAAAACAAAAGTTGTATGTCGTCCCTCATCTGTGGTTCCTAGCACCAAATCCTTATGTGTGAGTACATATCCTGATGTAACTGCAGGAACCAGGGAAATGGAAAGTAACCAGGGAGGTAAAGGGAAAGAAGGAACCTGAGAGAAGAACAGTAGGAGACAGGTTAAGTTACTAAGGAGAAATATGTAAAATGGGGGTAGTTAAATGATAGGGGCAGAGGGAGGGCTATAAAAGGAACTATGGGGATAAAGAGGAAGAAGGAGATCAAGAGTGGTGGGACCTTAGCAGACAGGAATTATCAAAGGAGAAATGGGAAAAACTGGGGATACTTTAAATGGGGAGGGCGTGAAGGAGGGGGGTTAGACAGGGAGTGAGAGAGAGAACAGATAAATAATACCTAGCTAGTATAAAAAAACAGAGGGAATCATATTGGTCCCAAAACCTACAGAAAAACTGCACATACAATAACTCTACATGAGTCCATGTATACAGCTCAAGGCTATATAAAAAGACACATTGCCAAACAGGAGAAACCTTCCTTTGAGTTGTTGGCCAGGGTAGTCCAAGAGACTCCCAAAATTACACAGGCTATTGTCACAGCCCTTGATTGCCCCCCCCCCCCCCCCCCCGAGAACTTGAAGGTAAGATGCTATTGCTGAAGACGGGACATTATTAAAACAGGATTTGGAGCAATGGAGCTGGATCTGACCTAGAAGCTACCTCCCCTGAAGGCTAGCTCTCACAGATTTGGAGAGCACTACACAAGCTGGTAAGGGAGAACATCAATCAATGGTCCAACTCCAGCTTCAAGGCCTAAAAACATCACTTCTTCTTTATCAGATGGACTCTGGACCAAAACACAGCCTCATGCAGGCCACACCAAGAAAACATCAACCTCTTCCAGACCTTTCTACCACAGGTAAATCTGTAAAAGCTTTCCTATCCACCAGGAAGTGCCAGCCAAGATGGTTCAGCAAGTAAAAGGTACTTGCTGCCAAGTCTGACAACCCATGTTTGATTTCCAGGATCCACATGATAGAAGGAGAGAACTGACTCTCAAAAGTAGCTCTCTGACCTCCACTTGCATGCTGTGGCATGTGCAGGCACACACATACACATAGGTTAAAAAAAATAATAAACCAATTAATTAATGTAATAGAAAAAAAAACCATGGAGGTAGTGGATAGCTGCAAGGAAACAGTTTTCCAGACAGCTGGTCATTTACTCATATGAACTCACAACAATGATGGCAGCATGCACAAGTCCTGTGCAAGCTCAAACCAGACAAAATCCCAGCATAGACATTGGAAAGTGGGTAAGAAACCCCAGCTCAACCTAAGGAAATGTTAGCAACTCATGGTTGCTGGAAGGGAGAGAGAGGTAGTCTCTTTTAAGGATGGGACTTGGGATCCAGTGGATGGACCCACACTGAAAGACATTTTGGAACACAAATTAGACTCTATAGACCTTATTATTGGACAGAAGCAATAAGGGGAGTTTTGGAAGGGGAAGGAATCTAAATATCATCAAATTAAATTGTAAGAAAAATCATAAAAATCCAATTAGAAAATGTTAATTTCTTAAAAAGCCTGAAACCAAGTCTTATTTAACCTCTGAGCAGGAGCTGATAAATTGTGAAGGACAGGACTCACTCACTGTGTTGGATTTCCCTACGATATCTGAGCAGATTGGACCCAAGAGCTCTCTTAGCACCTCAGAGGAAGATCATTCTGCAGATGGAGTCCTTCCTCCCGAGGTCTCTGCTGAAGAAGCAAATGACAACCAATGTGCTAAGAAAAAAATACATAAACACTAAATCTTGAAGTTTGCATACAAAGAGCATAGAAAACTAAACCCTGGGCAGAGCCTGAAAGAATCTGGAGCTAGAACATTCACTAATCAGAAAGAAAAAAATCCAGCAGAAATACGCCATGCTCAGATTATCTACTATGTGTAGCATCTCTCTGGTTCTATTCAAATTAAGTAGGAGGTGTGTGATGAGGTTTTTTTATTATTACTTTAATAGTCATCTACTTTAATGTATATTAACAAAAATTTAACATGTCAAGCTAGCGGATTTTATTATCTTATAATGACCTTAAATTAGTTTTTAAGCTTGAGAAAGGGGGGTATTTATTAGCACCAGACTCCAACCAGCTGAGGCAAACAGCTGCTCAGAACAAGCAAGAAACGTAAAGAAAATAAACTCAGTAAATAACATTATGAAGCATGGACAGTTGGCAAAAACTGAAATGACATATGGATTGCTAGAGGAAAGGAAATAGTGTGCTCATGGGGAAAGAGGGGGAGGGAGAGAGAAGAGAGAGGAGAATAAAGAGGGAGAAATGAGAACTGATTTCCATGTGAGACAAGGGACAGGGATTCCCTTTTCCAGGAAGAGGGAAGCGGCATCCTCCTCCCAACCCAGGGGCGCCTCTGCTCTGTTAGGTCACTCTTCCAACCCTCAGAGCACAGATGTTCAGACAGAACATTGCTGGAGCTGAAAGGGGGAGAGAAAAAAATGGACCAAACACATGGGGCCTCTGTGTTCAAGGGTCTCTTGTACCTTCACAATGTCTTCATCCGCAGACTTGCATTCCACAGACTCCGACACATCCACCACAGAGCCATCTTCTTGAACACCCACGACCTTGACTGGAACTGAAACAGGCTTTCCAGTGAGAATGGCAGTGTTCAAAACTTCTGTGTCCTGAACAAGAGAAAGGAGGGCACAGGTGAGCAGACAAGCACAGCAAGTGAGCCTCAAGGGAGGGCAATGGACTGAGCCACCTGCCATGTTGGTGGTATGAACCGAATGGAAATGTTCCCCACAGGCTCAGGTGTTTGAACACTTTGTCCCTGTCAGAACACAGGCCTGCCCCTTTAAGATAGTGGTCACTCTCTAGAGACTAGATCCCATAGCCTAAATCAGGCCACACTTCCCTGCAGAACTCTCAGGGATAGAGAGTTAATAAGCAGTCTGGGTCCCCATGCCTAACGCTGCCCCTGATTGACAGTCCTAGCCAGTACCTGGCTCCCCATATTTTTGTCACATACACTATGCTGAACTAAATCACTGTGATGTGAAACTTTCTGAGACCCCCATGAAAGTTTATAAAACGCTGATATTTCCTTTGTTCTCCAGATTGCACTTTGTATTTACTCTGAAGAGGTCCCTCTGGCCTCCTTCACTGCCATCCCTCTCTTCACTGTTACCTCTATCTCCATATCTCCCTAATTCTTACTCTTTTGGGGGGTGACAGGGGTTTGAGACAGGGTCTCCCTATAGCCCCAGTTGACCTGGAACTTACTATATAGACCAGGCTGACCTCAATTTCACAGAGATCTGCCTGCCTCTGTCTCATTAGTGCTGGTATTAAAGGCATGTGCCACCATACCCGGCTTTATTCTTACTTTTTTGCTGATTTTTTGTTTTGATTTGTTTTAAAATTTTATTGAATTTTTGTGGATTTCATACATAAAATCATCTTTACACCCCCTTTCCCCTTCCCCTTTGGCACTCTCCCATAGTCCCCCTCCCCCACTGGAATTCATACATTCTGTCATTTGTATTAAGGCCTATTATGTAAAGGTAGTGGCCCAAGATCCACCAGGGTTTAGTTAGCCTATCTAGAGTCTCTCTCTTCAAGAAGATGAGCTCTTTCTCACCCAGCAGTAATTAGCTGCCAATAATTCTTTGACTAGGAGTAGGGCTTCCTGTTCATTTCCACAATTCTGTGCTGGATTTTTGTCTGCCTAAATTTGCATGGGTCTTGTGTATGCTGATACCATTACTGTAGGTTTGTATGAGAAGGGTCCTAGGTGTCTGCAGGACTATTTCCATATGGTTATGCACCTCCTCCCTGGTTCTTACAATCTTCCCACCTCCTCTTCCACAATGGTCCCTGAGGCCTGGGTGGGTGGACCTCATTATAAGAGACCTGTCTAAGGACCTACACTCTGCTGACTCTTATTCTCTGTGTTTTGGTCATTTGTCCCTCTGTTGCATGAGGAAGCTTCATTGATGAGAATTCAAAGACGCATTACTGTTCTCTTCATCCCTTGTTCTATGTTCCATGAGCCTTAGGTGTAGAAGTTGAATCTTAAATGTGTCACTTATACTTAGGCAATTCACAGAGAATCTCTGTGTGTGGCCAGTGGTAGGTTCATTTTATTCGTAATTTTACTTAAGCTCCTCTCCAGGTTTTAAGGGGAAGCCTCTACTTCCCTTTAAGGCCCCTGTTACGTTTGTCTCTTGTGCATATTGCCCCTTTCCCAGACTCACCACTACCACTCTATTATAGTTAACAGTCCCAAGCTATGGCCCTGTTTGGGGAAGGTGAGGAACCTTTAGAAGGTGGGGCCTAACAGGAGGGGGATGGGGCTTGAAAATTATAGCCCACCTACTTCCAACTGAGTCTCTGTTTCTTGACTTCCAAGCCAATGTAACCAGCTACAACAAGCTCCACCACACCTTCCTCACCATGATGGGCTGTATTCCCTCAAACCATAAGCCAAGGTAAACCCTTCCTCCCTTAAGTGGCTTCTTGTCAAGTGTTGGGACCCAGCAATAAGAAAGAACTGATACAGCTCTCCTGCAGTTGACAGGATTGCCTTAGTACATGAAGCCATGAAGTCCACACACAAGGAAAGGTACATGACTCCCAAACAATAAGTCAAAATATCCTAACCCCTGGCCTCAAAGATTGGTTCAAGTGATGCCTGATAAGGCAATGCTAGGCAAGAATGGGAGACAGATTCCTGGTAAAGATTTCTGGATTCCTGAATCCAGTCATAACTGAAGGTTATTATCTTTGGAAATTTAAATAAATTTCTGTTTTTACTAAACAAACTTTTCTGAAAGTCAGTATGAACTGAGTTTTGACTCTTGCCAATGAAAAATATTGACTCAAAAGACCTGGTGGCAGGATGGACTCTAGGGAAAGAGACTAAACCTCACCCTCCACTCTGGGGAAGCCCCCAGGCTGCAGAAATGACAGCATGTCAGTGAGTCTCCAAGCTGAGTTTCAATGAAAGGTGCAGATTTTAAAGTAGCAAATCATAACTGACTAAAACGTATGACTTTGTTATAAGTAACTTTGTAGCCATGTTTCCTGCACTCAAATTTTTCATGAGTGGCTGGTATTTTCCACCTACCCCTCCCCCATTATCCATGAACAGCCTCTCAACACTCCCACAACCAATGTCTACAAGCCCTTAGTACACTGAGAAAGAAATCACCACCTTCCACATCACAGCAAAACCATCCCCTGCTGCTAAAATTCAGCATCTGTCCAGAGGCAGGCCTCCTCTGTTCCCATTTTGCAGAAGCTCTTAGTTTCCTACTAGAGCATAACTACAGCCTTCATGGAAACAAACTCCATCAGTGCTGCACCTTAGAGTGACAATCAGGGAAAATGGCCAAGTAAGACCCTCAGAAGATTCATCTCTCCATGAAAGCATCAAGAAAGCCAGCAAATGTCAAAGAAAACTTTTGCAGAACTCTAGAAATCGACCAAAGCACATATGAACAGGAGAGTGTTTTTTCAAGAAACATGGCTGAATCTTTGATTTAAAAAAGGAAACAAGAGAGAGACAGAGAAGAAATAAAAAAAAGACCAGAGAACTTAGTATCATTTCTACTGTTTCCCCTCTCCATATCTGCAGAAGTATTGAAAAGTGACAGCCCACTCTCACAGTGAAAGCCTGCAGCGTGGATGCTACTGGAGACCTATGGCTAGAGACCTCAGGGCTGGAGAGACCAGCACTAGAGACCTTTCAAACTTCATTTTCAAGTCATCTTTGCTTGAGTTGCCTGCTGGTTCCCTACCCAGTACAGAAAGCCTTGTCCCCAGAGATGTTTGTCAAACACAATTACAGGCAATTGTTCAACTCAGAGTTGTCAGAAGCCACAGATAACAGCTTGATTTTTTAAAAAGCTAAAAAGGAAAATATGGGGAATGAGATGACCATAGGGACTTTGAAGGGCTATGACAAACTCTTAGAAGAGGTATAGACAAAGTGATAGATGATAGATAGATAGATAGATAGATAGATAGATAGATAGATAGATAGATAGATAGATACATACATACATACATACATACATACATAAATACGATAGATAGATAGATGATACATAGATACACAGATACATAGATACATAGATAGTAATCAATAGAGATATAGGTAAACAACAGACCACTGATAGACAGAGTGATATGTAGATATATGCATAGGTGCATAGATAAATAGAGAATAGAAAGATTAAAGATAGATAGATGATAGACAAACAGACAGATAGATAGATGATAGATAGATGGTGGATGGACAGCAAATAGATAGATGATAGATAGATAGATAGATAGATAGATAGATAGATAGATACAGGCCCTGTGTTTGTTTGCAGTGGTGAACAAACTAGACAAGGTTCTGGCTCTCATAGGTATGATAAATAGATGATAGATACATACATATATATATTCATAGATGACAGAGTGATAGATGCCTACATCAGCAAATAACAAATAGATGACAGACAAATGGTGATAGATGACAGATAGAGACAGATAGGTACATAGATAGGCAACAGATCAAATGTTATATGCACAATAGGCAGATGACAGCCAGATGATAGAGTGATGACAGATTGAAGATAAATAGGTGATTGACAGATTATAGATATATAGATGCTTGATAAATGAGAGGGAGGGACAGAGAGAGAGAGAGAGAGAAAGAGGGAAAGAGAGAGAGAGAGAGAGGCATTGTCAGCACAGGCCCCAGGGAGATAACAACACAGCAAAGCCCTGTGGCCAAGCTGTGTTGGCCATGCAGCATGAGCAATACACCTTCATGTATAAAGCTATTAACGCCTAGTAGTTTCAAGTAATTTTCTGCCATATTCTTTTGACTATATACTCTCAGAATTAAGATAAAAATAGCTGCAAACACAGTGAATCATGAATGTTTGTCTTCTGCAGCCACGCAGGTTAGCAACAGAAATCTCTTCAGTATTCTAGGATTGAGCAAACAATGTGTGCTGGATAAGGAGAGCCATGGTTCTCACTGCTAGAAAGGTGAGTTTTTAAAATGGAAAGAAGTCAAGTGGGCTCTATGAGCATGAACAGAAGAGGGTCAGTGAGACTGACAGGTGGGGCTGTATGTATGTGTATGTGTATACAGTAGGGAGTGTAGAAGTCTATGTATACATGAGGTTTTCCTCACTTTGGTTTTCTGACACTCATTCAGAAATCACCATGCCAACCTGAGGTTTTAGCCCTAAAATCCACTCTCCAATAAAAGAAAACAGGGCTCGATGGAGAAACGGCAGATTGATATAGGTTGAGACACACGAGCGGGAGCCTAAAATATCTCATGCAGTCAGAAGGCAAGTAAGTGTTCAAACAACAGAAATGTCAAAAGGACACGGGAGACGACGTGAAGGGTTGTCCATTGCCAGCCTGGGACAATTCAGCCTCCCAGTAAATAATCATAGCAGTCAATTATAGGCTGTGGAATAAAATAAGCGTCTGAGTCCACACTGCTATAATTAAACTAACTGGGAGAAAGAAAGCCTTGTCCTGAGGGCAGAATTCCAACTAAAAATGTAAAGAAAATCATGAAATTAGAATATGCATCTGTCAGCCACCATTAATGCTGCAGTTGTTTGGGGTGGGATTCATTAATGGGTCCTGCCACTGACTGAAAGTA